ATTAAACTAATATGTTAGTAAACCTATTCCACATAAACATAATAAACAATTGTTATCATCAATTAATTCACGCTCTCCCAAACATAATTGGTAATACATGCAAATTAACATGAATTGTTGTAGAAATGAACTTTCGACGAAACAAACTTTCGACAAAATGAACTTTCGACAAAATGAACTTTCGACGAATGATTGTCGACGAAATAATTGTCGATGAAGTGATTGTCGATGAAGTGATTGTCGATGAAGTGATTGTCGACGAAGTGATTGTCGACGAAATAATTTTCGAGGAAATGAACTTTCGATGAAATGGGTGTCGACAAAATGATTGTCGACGAAATGATTGTTGACGAAATGAATCAGACCCCTTATAATCATATCGTATGTTAAAATAAAAAAATATACACGCACCAGACCAACGATTGTTGTGTAATGTTGATAAAACTTACTTGATTTATTAACAATGTTGATTTACACTTTTAACTTATTAATATTATAAACCGATGCACGTTGAATAACAATATTAAATATTCTAAAACATCAAGGAATTTGTATAATACAGTATAACCTTGTTAGAACAAAGTGACTGGATACATAAGAAAATTTCATTCAAAATTCGTTGAAACAAAAATTGAAACAAGGTTTCACTGTATTAATTACATGTATCATAACGTAGGAACAATACAAAGTGAATCTCGATTAAGCGGATACTAATTAAAATCTCAGTTTAACGGTGAAATTCAAGAACGGTTCCATAATAAACCTTAATATTAATAAAACCCTTTTCGATATAACGGATTTTTGGAAAATTTTTCCTAATACTAATTACTCAAACTATCCGTTAAACCGAGATTCACTGTGTACTGCAATAGTAGTACATTCAATCGAAATAAAGTAATTTTATTAAAGGTTAAAGGGCAACCATATTTAAAATTGTATGGACGCAATTTACTTCTACGTTAATACCTAAAAAATAGTGTATCGATAATGTAAAGTAGTTAGCAGTTTTTAAATTAGTAAATATACCTTTCCGACGGGGTTTTATTCGTTATGAATGTTTATTTGAATAAAACGAATAAAATGAATAATAATAAAACGAATAATTCGAATAAGAAATTAGAAATTCTACTTTCTGAAACAAACGCCTTGATCCGTACAATAGTCATCTATTTTTTTCCTTATCCATAACAATTGCTACAGTGCTGCATGGTTACGAACTTCTGGGCGTCTTGAAAAGGTTCATATACAATCACTACACTTCAATATCGTAATTCTGTTAAATAAATCAATAATAATTAAAATAATAATGGCCTGTCTATTAAACAAATTTATGATGGCTCTATTTAAGTAATAATAATAACAATTTAACTCTACGAGTATCATCTCTAATTATAAATGTGATGAATTTTTTAATTTTTCCTTTTCATTCTTTTCAACTTCCTCTAGTATCAAATATGAATAGAATAAAGATTCTTCCAAATAAAAGTAACGAACTTGAATTCCTTATTTCGTCAATTCTCTTAACAAGAGTCGATGCCATGGTATGTTTTCTAACTATATAAATTTTTTGTTTGAAGATACGAGTTAGTGTGTGGAAGAAATGACAATTAATAAAAAGAAAGCTAGACACGGTTTTACTGTAGGTCCACATTTATTTCATTTTTTAACGAAAATGATTACACGTATAATTGATGGCTTTTATCAGCAATTCGTACTAAGAGATGATATTATTACTATGTTGTCATGTGAGACGAGCATTGTGAATGCTTTTGGTGTTTCTCGCCTTCCACCTTTTAATGATAATGGAAAAAAAGATCAAATGAATAGAAAAACGATGCTAAAACTAAAATGTCATATGAATTGTACACGCTTATTGATTCACACAATGATCAATCAGACACAAAAATAATTAAAGCAACATTTACTAACAATGGGCAAACTACTTTGAATAAATAATCTTTGATCAGAACATCTGTTACCAAAGTTTGATACTGACATTGTTGATCAGTGCTTTACACTTTTGTAGAAACAACAGGAAGCATAATAACAATATTATTATTATTTAGTTAAATGGTGGACATTTTTTAATAAAGTTATTAATGATTGTCATACTGTAAATATATTATTGCAATGCCTACTACGCATTATATAACATGGATTTTCAATGCCGTTTGTTTGCATAGGGTCTGTTGATTATCATTTTTTTGGTGTTAAAAAACAGGGGCATTGTTCAATGCTATTTGATGTCTCTAAAAATTTCTTGATGTAATACTAATACACATCTACTTTTCCGTGCAAAGCCTTTGAAGCAAATATTGTTTTCAAGGTGATCCATTTTTTGTGTCTTTTCTTTGCCTTTAAAAACTTTGTAAAAAATTGGTTTATGTGAAATTAGAGAGGCACAACATAAAATTATTTTATTTGGATTTAATCCATCAGTACATCATGAAAAATAATGTTGGATGCCAAAAATTAAAGAAATTACAGCCAAAAATATTATTACATTTATGAAACAGATATATGGGGCATTGGGGCATCCCACATCATATGATTTACAAACACAGTCGATCATATATATAAGAAGGATTTTTCATCAATCTTTTTTTTAATAGTACATATGTAAACTCGATAAGTTGGTCATGTGGGGGTGAGCTCATATGACTGACTTATTGAGTAAACTGACTTATCGAATTAAATTACTTAAATATTAAGAAAATGGTGTGAAAATTTTGGCCAAGTTATCAAGTAAACCGACTTATAGAGTGACTGACTTATCAGGTTTACATATGTAAACTTTGAACAAAAATAACTCTTTAAAGAACAGAGGTACAAATTCCAAATTAAGTTTAAAATATATTAGAAGGATAGGGCAATGCCCCTATGGAGAGTTTTTTTTTTAATTTTAATATCACTTATTTTAAGCTAAAAGAAAAAAAGGAAAGTTATGTATATATGATACAAAATTTTGTGCAAATAGAATTGCAAAAAGCTCCCTATATGCCTAAAGAGCATCAAAATGCGAATCCAAACCATGTCATTTTATTTAGATATGTCATATAGTTTAAGATTTATTTCAATTTTTTGTAATCTTGCGAATATATTTTGACCAATTTTAGTGTTATATAGCTCTCTGAAAATATACCAAATATTGTAGATATAAATATTCCAAAGTATAACAGATTACCAAATTTCAGAATAATATTTAAACAAAAGAATTTTTTACATGACTCACATTGACTAGAAATTACTTGAAAATAATTCAACACAGAAGATTTAAATGTTGCTTAAGGAATATATTAATTAGTATAATTTAGGATTTCAAAGAAATCAGAGAACTAGATGATAGAACCTTTAACATATATAAATACATTGTAAATTTCTCTTTTCATGCATAATTCAGTTCAGTTTTGAATTTTTGTATTGTAACAATAATATCTTAATAATAAAATATGAACATAAATACCTCTTAAAATAACCTCTGGCCAGTGGAATAATCCATTCCACTTCCAAAACCAACCCCTTCACTCTAATTAACTCAATTAATTAATCATTTACTAACTTACCAGGGGGGTCACCTTTGATAAGTATAGTTGTGTGTGTATTTTCTTTATTTTTATTTAGATTAGGCCAACACCTAAGAAGTAGAAATCCTAACTAGGTGCAGTCAGTTAATATACTGAGCCATAAATATAATTAATAAGTATAGAAGGTATCAAGGTGGATACTTAGGATATAATAAAAATAATTGAGATGTGCCAGCTCAGGCAGATAACAAAGGACTGCTGAGAAAATGTTACCAGAAGGGAAGTAAAACTTGCCCTATAATGGATTAATAGCTTGGGTGCTATTACTGCCATAAATAAAGAAAGCACGATTAAGAATTGAATATTTGGATACTACCAGACAGACGAAATAAATACTATTCTAACAAAATCAAGAGATTTGTGTGAGATGCGGATTTTGATCTCACAATAGTAATAGTCCTATCAATTACCCGGTTAATATTGACCAATTAGAACGAATTTACTACGGAAGTCATGTGATGTGCTAACCATTACATCGTGATTAACAACCATTTTTCTATATCATTGTAATGGTTGTGCTGCAGTCTCACATGAAAGTTTATTCTTATTCATATTTCTATATTTATATTTATTAACCTACTCATCTGATGCAAATATTTATTTAGAATTAGTAATTAGTTGATAAGCATATTATTGGAGAGTAGAGTAGCACATATCACATTATTTGT